ACAATATCATCCAAGAAGAACAATTTGGATTTCGCAAACAACACTCGACTGTCCACCAGGTTAAACGAATAGTAAACATTATTAAAACAAATAAAAGATAGCGTAAAAGTACAGGTGCAGTATTCCTAGACATTGAGAAGGTATTCGATTCTATGTGGCACAACGGTTTGATTTTTAAACTTCACAAGTTTGATTATCCTGTTTACCTACAAAAGATTGTACACAGTTTTCTGACAGAGAGACAATTTGCTGTACATATTGATGATGAGCATTCAGATCAAAAAGAAATTACTGCAGGTTTACCACAAGGATCTGTGTTGTCCCCGATCCTATATTCGATATATACATCCGATTTAAAGCTTCTTAAACAACAAGACGTCGCATTGTATGCTGATGGCACGGCTATCATTACCAATGGAAATGTTTCCAATTCAATAATCAAGGAACTTCAGTTGTCATTAAATCATATTAAAAAGTATTTTGACAAGTGGAAAATAAAAATAAACGAAGCGAAAACCCAGGCAATAATTTTTCCCTTCAACAAATCCCCGAAACGCATTCCAATGTTGATATTTTGCAGCAACAATATAAATCTGCAAACATCTGTAAAGTATCTCGGAATACAATTAGATAAAAATCTCACATTTAGAGATCACGTTATAACTTCATCAGAAAAAGCAGTCAAATGTGGTCGAGCTCTATTTCCACTACTTAACCTCAAATCTATGGCTGTCCGGTATGGTATGGTTTGTGTGCAAAAACTCACATCAAAAAGTTACAAATAATTCAAAATAAAAATCTTAAAATTATATATGGTCTTAATAGACGATATTCCACAGAACTTCTCCATCAACGGCACCAAGAGGATATAATCATCCCATTCATCGAAAAAATTACAAACAATTTTGAAATGCGTAATAGATTTTCAAATTTTACATTGCTAAAAAATTGCATGATTGAGAAATTAATATTAATGTAAAACAAGTAAGCAAAGGCTACAGTCAAGCGGGGCCGACCGTTGAATACCCTACAACACTATAATAAACCATACAGATACTCGAAAGAACTCCACAAGATATTGTGACAAATAATAAAAGAAAACCATCATGTTTTGTTTTCTAATTTTCGAATAATAGCAACGTAAACGAATTTGCTCATTTCCAATTAATTGGTAGATGTTGCAATGGTCTTCCTAGATCTGGAACCAGTATTTCCCAAAGACCTATAATCTCTCAGAAGTAGCAAAAGATTAACATTTATTATTGATTTGTGACTGAAACGCATATATATGAGATACAGACATTTGACTATATTCTTCAACGATATCAGTGTTAACGAAATAGTCAGAAGTGCGTCTTTTCTGTATTTGTGAATTCTCCAAAAAGTCGCTGGAATGGACATTTTCGTATTTTGTCTACAAAAGTTGGCAAACTCCTTCACACATTGAATATTTTTGGATGGCCATCAGAAACTGCTTGGCTTTTGCAATGCGCGGTAACTCCCATTCAAATGTGCATGAGGATCGGGCGATAATTACGACCTGCTGACAATTTTGCAGTTTTTTGGTCCATTTCAACCCCTAAATATATAGCGATCATCTCCAAAAAGAGTAGGCATCTATTCTGACCCTCGTATTATCCCCATGCAAAATTTCGTAAGAATCGGTCAATAAATGTGATCTGTATATGATATCCTGATATCCTAACTACTTAGTTTTGTTAGCTGTATAAATATTACTAAATGTTTAATTCAAAATGAAAATATGCCAAAATTGAAAAAAAATATGAGAAAATGTTACAAAATCTATATTTTCATCTTTAGAGAGATATTTTTATGCGATTTTTTTAGACGTTTTTTCTTTCCTGCCAATAGGCCATTCTGAATTAATGAGAAATGTCGAAATCAGTTCAGCCGTTCTCGACATATAAGAGATCTTTCAAGCATATCTTCCTTGATGGACATATATATCGCACATATTTTGCTATATATCCTATTTGTTGGATGTTAACATCAATGTAAAGATCAGAAGTAACCTTGTCACGACTTTGTGATTTCGCCGGAATTTAAAAAATTCACGGTTTAATGAAAATTTTTTAAATTTTTTCAACACAAAAGATATGGTCTATTTTACCCGCTAAATATTATCTGATGACCACCCAAATTGGTAGGCTTCTTCCCCGCCCTAAACTCTAGCTACATGCGAAATTGGTCGATTGGTATAGCTACTGCAAAATCCGACATTTTTTCAGTATTTGGTCCATTTCAACCCCTAAACATTTGGCGACCATCTCCAAAAGAAATAGGCTTCTATTCTGATCCTAACCCCACCTTCGTGCAAAATTTCGTATGGATCGGGCCATTATTGCGACCTGTAGCGTGATCTTAGCTATCATGGCTATTTGCTTTCTAAAAGGTTTTTACCTATCTTTTTTTGCCTTAAGTTTGTATATAACTAAAAAAAAAAAATGTTTCCTTATAAAATTTAAAAAGATCCTATTTGCTGCAATACTTTTAGTTTACTTTTATTTCATAAATTGTTATGTATTATATATTGTTTAATTGTACACTGATAGACGAATATTTTGATAAAAAAAATTAAATTAGATAATTTTGTACATATTTGGTAGTTCTTCTAAATAAACATATAAGTTCCTATAAATTGTGGTTCAATCAAATTATCTAAATGGAATAGGATGTACATAAATCTAAGTAAATATAATCGGATAATTGATATATGAAATTATTATTTCGCTGATCCAAATGGAGCAAGTCTGTTACTGATTTAAAAAAAATTAACATTGTTCTGTTAACAACAGAAATGTTAAAATGGTCTTCAGTTTTATTTTTGTCATCCTAAAACTATACTTTAAAAATATAAAATAAGTATATTCCATGGAAGCGCTGTTGCCTTAACATGCCGAATATTTACGTATATCACTAACAACATTATGTTGGCCCTGTAATAGCAACGTCGTCGAGTAGTCCGCCCTCATGTATAGAAGACGATAGGCTGGAAAAACTGGCATGCCATGTTTCCCCTGAATCCAGAAATCTCTACACCATGTTGTACTGTGAACATGGTGTATGTCGAACTTTTAATACCCTCCACCATTTCTTGAAAGAAAAGAATTAAGAAAAATACTTCTCACATGATATCATTTTACGTGGGCTACACGATAACGAGTTCCTTCATAAGTGATTTTTTGTGACAGAGATGTCACATCGCAGATTTTTACCATGAACCAATACACGCCACTCGAGTGCTCTGAAATAGTTGAAATATACATTCAACAGAAAAAGTCAAATGTGAAAACTCAACGTGCTTTAAAAACATTAAAAATGTGAGAAGTGCGCGTTTATTCGAAAAATTTTCGACTGAAAAGGCTCTTTCTAATCCGAAGAGGCCATATAAAAGTCGACCAAGGCGATTGGCCGAGAATATCGCTGCCGTACGAGTCAGTATTGAGAGGTCCCCAAGAACATCACAAAAACGCCGTTCTCAGCAGTTGGCATGGCTCGGTCCACTTTACAACCGATTATTCGCATTGATTTGCATTTGTTCCCGTACAAAATTCAATTCACACAAAGAATGTTGCCTGCGGACAAGCCTCGTCGATTGGAATGGGCCCAAAGGGCACAATGGTCCGTCGAATATGGGCAACCCTGTATATGAGAGCTATAGCTATATCTGAACCGATTTTCACCAAATTTGCAGTAATTATTTTTAGAATAAATTCAGTCGGAATTGCCAAGATTCATTCAATATGCGCTGATATTAGCCCGTTGGTGCACAAAAAATGTTGGTAAAATTTTAAAAATACGGAATATTGCCGTTATATTGATGCCTATACGACGTGGACCCACACAGGCATTATTTGTCATGAGTCATTACCAAATTCCAATTCGGAACTTGAAATAGACGCGAATAATGTAGCTAAAATCATCAAAGTATATAATATAGGGAGGTACCGTTATATCGGAGCTGTGCGAAGACCTGAACCTGTAGACAATTTTTTCTCATAATCTGTAGCATCCTTTACGAACTTCAAATACGACATTTCAAACAACTTCGGTGAGTATTGCACCTAAACTCGTCAAAATACCGAATATAGGAAGGTACTGGTATATGGGGCCTATACGAAGACCTGGACCTGCATAGACAATTTTCTGTCACAGACTGGAGTTTCCATTACGAACTCTAAATGCGTAATTTGAAAAAAAAAAATTGGTGAATAAAGACGCTAAAATCACCAAAATACCAAATATCGGAAGGTACAGTTTTATGGGGGCTATACGAAGACGTGGACCTGCACAGACAATTTTCTGTCTTAGGCTGTAGTATCCATTTCGAACTTTAAATACCAAATTTGAAACAATTCCGGTGAATAATGTCGCTAAAATCATCAAAATACCAAATATCGGGAGGTACAGTTATATGGGGGCTATACGAAGACGTGGACCTGCACAGACAATTTTCTGTCTTAGGCTGTAGTATCTATTTCGAACCTCAAATACTAAATTTGAAACTATTCCGGTGAATAATGTCGCTAAAATCATCAAAATACCGAATATCGGGAGGTACCGTTATATGGGGGCTATATGAAAACGTGGACCTACATGGCCAATTTACGAACATAACCTGCCTACTGTAAAAATAAACCTGTGTGCAAAATTTTAGTCTTGTGTCTCAATTCGTTCGAAAGATAGCGTGATTACAACAGACAGACAGACGGACAGACAGACAAACAGACGGACATCGCTAAATCGACTTAGAATTTTACGCTGATCAAGAATATATATACTTTGTTGTGTCTGACATGAGTATTTATACCCTCCACCATAGTATGGTGGTTACTGGCAAATATCGGTCAAGTAGCACCATTAAAAAATATTTGATAATTTTGAGAACAAGAGATTTAGCGATGATTTGACTTTGGCCGATCTTAGCGTTTTTAACCCCAACCTGGCTTTAAATAATAAAAACCGTTTTAATATTTTATTCATATTTTATTAGGTGAATTTTTAATTCAAACTTATCATGTACGTCTATATAAAAATAATTTAAATATACATTTTATTACTATTTTAATTTGTGCTTAGTTTAGAAATAAGTCTTAATATATTTGCTTATACTGATATAAATAAGTATGTTAATATATGTTTGTTATATTTAAAAATATTAAAATTAAAGATGTATTATTCTTATAAATTTAGAGATTAAAAACAATTAGAGTATTGTCGAATACTGCAGAGGACTCAAAAGTTCGGAAATCCTTGCTTAATCTTAATCCTTGCTTGCTATGCCTTAATCGGGAGACACATAAGCAACCTTTTCCGGCAGAGATATGGAGCGCTGTCAGATCCATATTTAAATCTTTTTTATGCCTTAATCGGGACATACACAAGCAGACGTTTGAGATGCATACCATTTCCGACAGAGATATAGAGGACTGTCCGAGCCATATTTAAATCTTTATTATGCCTTAATCGGGACATACACAAGCAGACGTTTGAGATGCATACCATTTCCGACAGAGATATGGAGGACTGTCCGAGCCATATATATATTTATATCTTTATTATTTTACCAGAAACAGTATTTAATGCCAAGCCGAATATACCGCTTATTCCACTCCACTTTATGTTACTCCAGCTAAAATAAAAGGCAAGGGAGCTGTTGTCCTTTTTTTTCTCTTTTGGATATAATTTTAAATTTTTATTCCATTAGTGGGTCAATGGACATCTGTAATTGTATTTAATCTCCTGTCTAAAATTTTAATTTTTAAAATTATTTTTTTATTTCTTAAATGTATTTAATATAAATATTATATTAATTTTTGAACGCTAAAAACTTAATATCGAACTTACTAATACTACTACCAACAGAGTTGTTTGTTCGCCCGTTACGTTGTGCTCACAGAATGTTCGTTCCAAAACGGAAATGATGCTAATACTACTCATGGAAATATTTAATTTTATTTTTCCCGCCGCTCCTGAATGCCTCCTAACATTCGAGGGGGGAGCATTTAACACCTATCTCGGTACATCGACACTCCTGACAGGGTGAGGAGAGTTCGAGTATGATTCGACCCACCCGATACATGCGGCCATAGATGTTGCATCCAGCTAATTTTAAGATTCCAATTGGATCGATTAAATTATTCAGCGTTGCTGAACTGCGTGACGGCACTGATGTTGACACCTCAACATGGCCATGGGTGGTGGTAGAGGTGGTGGTGGTGCTGCTGGAGGATTTCTGGCCAAGAGGGTGTGTTGGTATGACAGATATTAATTTAACATGGTTAACAGATGAAATATGTCCCGGCGAAGACAATGAATAAGGCTTCTCTGCAGAGTAGGATGAGGAGGAGTATGACGACGACACCGATGATAATGATGAGAAGAATGGTTGAGCATCCTCTTCTGATTCCTTGGCCACTAAAAAGGTTTGGCTTGGAATTGCAAATGAAGGCGTTGCTGAATTACGTTTCACTTCAAAGCTGGCATCCATGAAAGGCAATTTGTCAAAAGGTGACATTAAAAATGGATTTGTAGTGGTTGTTGTTGTAGTTGTTGGTGTTGGTGTTGTTACTGGTGGTGGCTTTGTCTGCATGGATGTTCTTCTAGTGGCTGCTGTCGTTGTCGTCTTCGTTGCAGATGAGTTTGCCAATGGTGTATCTGCTGTTGTTGTTGTTGCTGCTGCCGTTGTTGTGGTGCCTATTGTAACTTTTGTTGTTGGCTTTTTGGGTCTATTGCCGCCAACCGTTACAGCGCCAGTACGTTTTGTATTTTTGCCAGAGGATGGCTCAATATTTGTCCCATTTAATCGTTGCACTGCTGCTCCAGAGGATGATGATGCTGATGATGATCCCTTAGCCGCACTCACTGTGGCATTAGCCATTTTCGTTGCCGTAACTGGCGTGTTGCTTGGCCTGGAGTTGGGTTTGTTGTGATGCTGTTGCCTTGTCGGCTTATTGCTTGTTACACGTCGTGTTGCATTCGATGATTTGGTCTTCGATGAGACCAAGGATGAGGATGACGCCAATATCTTTGTTTCCGATGCCGTTGCAGTTGACTGGCCATCCACTTTGTTTTTGGTCAATTTCAAGTTCGGTCTATTGGCCGTAGCTGTTGTTGTCGTCGTTGTTGTTGTTGTTGCCGCCTGGGCAATTGTTTTATTGTTATTATTCTTGATGGCCGGTCTTTTGCCGGACTTGTTGGTAGTACTAACAGTCGTTGTAGTTGTTGACGACGATGACATCAATGTTGTTTGTTTAGTTGGCTCTGTTCGTTTTGTTGCTGCTGTTGTTTCAGCGTTCTTCGATGACGAACTGTTGGTGGTTCCTTTTGGCATGTATTTGAAAGCCATTGCCTGTGGCACTGTCGAATCCATGCCATGATTTGATTTTTCATCCTCTCGTTGCTTCTCCTTCATGACATTTTCTGTTGTTCGTTTGTCACTCATGTCTTGTGTAACTTCTTTTTTGCTATCCCCAATATCGTCCATCGAATTCGATGGTATTAAATCTGCATTATGGAAATGAGTTGCTGCCGCTCCGGCGGTTGCCTTTACGGCTTGTTCCTTCACATCCATGTCAAAAGAGATTTGTAAATTTTCCTTTGATGGCTGTTGAGTGGTGCTGTAGTTCGATTGGGTAATCAAATTTTTTAGCTTATCCTCGATTAGCGATGTTAGATCCGGTGGCAGTTCGGTACGAATGACATCTTTGAATGGGTCTGGTGTTGTGATTTCTGAAAAGACGTAATGGATGACTTAAGTTTCGACAAGTTTACAATAAAACAAGTAAAAAGCTGTAAGTTCGGCCGGCCGAACTTTGAATATCCTCCAATATTTGGAAAAAGTTTGGCAATTAAAAAAATTAAATCCCTTAAAAATCCTCTTAAAATCTTTAAAATACCGAATGTAGCCTTTATATTAGGGTCTATACGACGACGCGGACCTTCATAGGCAACTTTTGTCATAGTCTATTACAATATTCAAATGCGAAACTTGAAAAAATCGGTGAATAATGTCGTTAATATCATCAAATTAACGAATATCGGGAGGTACCGTCATATGGGGGGCTATACAAAGACGTGGACCTGCACAGACCATTTTCTGTTGTATCCATTACGAACTTCAAATATCGAATTTGAAACAATTCCGGTGAATAATGTCGGTAAAATCATCAAAATACCGAATATCAAGATGTGCCGTTATATGGGGGCTATACGAAGACGTGGACTTGCACAGACAATTTTCTGTCTTAGGGTGTATTATCCATTTCGAACTTTAAATACCAAATTTGAAACAATTCCGGTGAATAATGTCGCTAAAATCATAAAAATACCGAATATCGGGAGGTACCGTTATATGGAGGCTATATGAAGACGTGGACTTGCACAGACAATTTTCTGTCTTAGGATGTAGTATCCAATTCGAACTTCAAATACCAATTTTGAAACAATTCCGGTGAATAACGTCGCTAAATTCATTAAAATACCGAATATAGGGGGATAGCGTTATATGGGGGCTATACGAAGACGTGGACTTGCACAGACAATTTTCTGTCTTAGGGTGAAGTATCCATTTCAAACTTTAAATACCAAATTTGAAACAATTCCGGTGAATAATGTCGCTAAAATCATCAAAATACCGAATATCGGGACGTACCGTTATATGGAGGCTACATGAAGACGTGGACTTGCACAGACAATTTTCTGTCTTAGGGTGTAGTATCCATTCCGAACTTTAAATACCAAATTTGAAACAATTCCGGTGAATAATGTCGCTAAAATCATCAAAATACCGAATATAGTGGGATAGCGTTATATGGGGGCTATACGAAGACGTGGACCTGCACAGAAAATTTTCTGTGTTAGGTTATAGTATCCAATTCGAACTTTAAATACCAATTTTGAAACAATTCCTGTGAATAATGTCGCTAAAATCATCAAAATACCGAATATCGGGAGGTACGGTTATATTGCCCCTATACCAAAACGTGGATCTACATGGCCCATTTTATAGCCAACTATGGAAATTAAAAAAAATTTACGTCTGTTCTGTTTACTTCGGTTTCAATTACAAATTCTCCCTCAAATTATTTCCTCTTGTACTCACCTATAACTTTAGTGGTATTCAAAACATCCGCCGATGTTGTTATATCTATGATATGTTGGGTAACCTGATAACTATCGCTAACTTTCACACTGACATTGTCACGATCATCGTCCAATATCAACGGATCTTTGGGTACAAATCCTCCCTCGGTCTTGGTGGGTGGTGAGAAACCCTTCGGAGGTTGTAAATTTGTCGATGAGAAATCATATTTTACGAAGGCAGGCGAACCCAAAGTGCCGTCAAATTTCCCCGGTGGCGAAGAGACCAACGAATCGGGCCCTTCAACATTAAATTTGTAAATATATTCCGCCTTGCTGCCATCTTCGAGATCTGGGTAGAGGGGATATTTTTCCGTTATTGAAGGATACAAATTGGCGTCATCGTATTGATCATAATCTATGCGAGATGTGGGTCCTCCAGCATGATGATAAAAATCATAGGATGAGGCTTTGTTGTGATCAGCCTTGACGGCATCGGTGGGTAGGAAGGGTATAATTTTCAAATTGGGTAGACTCGGTGGTAGCGTGTGATCGGTGTTTTGATCCAAGGGTTCGGCTTCTAAAATTGTGGGATTTGTTTTGATGACAACCGGTTTCAGGGTTGATGTTGTGGTTGAAGGTTTGGAGCTGGTTGTGGTGGTTAGTGTTGTGGTAGTGCTCGCACTCTCCGAACTTGCTGTGGGGGTTGTTGCAACCGGTGTGGTGCTGCTGGGGGGTGTTATCCTTGTGGTAGCCTCTGTGAGTAGACTTTCCGAAATCGGTATTATAGGATTTTTACTTAAATGTGGAGGTAGTGGTTTGAAGGTGGCATTGTTTGAAATTTTCGTGGAAATCATGGGCGGTTTGACCGTGAGATTGGCAATTTTTGAATTGATGCGACTGTAGGTTTTGTCTGTTGGAAGGGGTTTAAAGAATGGCAGAGGTTTGGTTGAGGGTAAATTATTTGTAACAATTTTGACGGGAGGAAGTTTGGGTATCGTGTAGTTATCCAATTTTGTAAGGTTCTTTAGAGGTTTATCACTGGCCAATATGCCACTGAGGCCATCCAGCAAGACGGTAAGTAAATCTGGGCCGTTATCAGGTTTTGTGGAATTTTTCAGGGGAAGTTTGAGGGGAACTTTGGTTGGAGTCGGAGTTTCGGTTTTAAGTTGCAGTTCTAATTTTGCTGTGGAACTTTCTGTAATCATTGGCTTTTTCGTTGTTGTTGTGGTGGTGGATGTTGTTGTTATATGTCTCTTAGTTGTTGTTGTTGTCGTCGTCGAGTCTTGTGGCTTTGCACTGGGTATTGCCTCTGTCGATTTGCCTGCTTCCGTTGTCTCACTGAGTGTTGTTGGCAATGTCTGGGTGGTTTCTTCTGCACTAAGGGTGTCCATGGTGCTATCATCCCCCATATCCGTTGTGGTCAAGTACAATTTCTCTTGATCCTCAGCCTTGAAAACACCTAATTCTTCTTCCTCTTCTTCACTCTCTGTGTAATTGCCGTGATCCAAGCGATCAATGGTATTGGTGGTAGCTGTTGGAGTGGTTTCATAGAAATCTGTTAAATCCTGAACCGTAGAGGGCTGGCTAAAATCAATTTTATCAGCCACCGCTGTGGAGGCTCTAATATCTTCATCATCTGGAGCCAGCAGAAGATCAACCCATGATATACCCGTTGTGCTGGTTGGTGTGGTTTTCTCTTCGGGTTCGATTTCTTCGGATAAATTCTCCTCGTTATTACCCTCCGAGGGACCCAAGAGTAGATCCAACAAACTTATTTCTGTAGTTGAAGAGGGGGCCTCGAGCATACCTCCTAGAGGTATGGGCTTTGGTGATGGTTGAATTCCCACCAAATCGCCATTATCTTTCAACATTTGCTTATTGTTGTTGTCAATAAATTCCAGACCCTCCCGCAGGGTATCGAAAATACTTTTCTCTGTTGTTGGGCCCCCCTCCAGCATAACCTCACCATTTGGCCTTGTTTTCAACGGCTGTTTCTCCACCACTTCGGGGTGACGGTCCGGAGGATATTGTACCGCAATTTCTGATGGGCTGGCCTCTTGATCTTCCTCCTCATCTTTACCAAAAAGCAGGGAGAATAAATTAAACTGCCTCGAATTCTGGGATCTACGATAATCTCTCTGGCTGCCACAATCATAGCTGGAGGGACAACATTGGCCCTTCGGCACGACAGGAATACAATTCCGCAAAGCGGGTGCACATTTTTTAGGGGCACACTTCCTTTGACCTCGTATACAGAAACAAATATCACATGGCTTGTCTTTATCGGATTTCATTTTCTGGCCCTCTGCATAGAATTGGCTGCCCACTGTGCAGCCACGATTCCGTTGCAGACGTTGGGACATTCTCATGTAATGTTTATTTGCAGTTTTACGATAGCGTACCTCTTGTGATGATTTACCCGTCTGTTTGGTACTGCAATCGTAACGAACCGGACAACAGGTGGAGTCGACAAAAATCGGCTTGCAACCCTCCAGCGGTAGCATACATTTCGGTTTGACGCATTTCTCAGTACCACCTGAAAGGGAGAGAATTTATTTCTGTATACATGTTGTTGTAATTTTTGTGACTTTTTACCAATGCAATAACAATAGGTACAGAGATTCGATGAGGACATAGCCGACCCAGATTTGTAGACAGTTCCATTTTTCACGCAAACTGAAAAAGAAAGAAATATGGTTAATAACAATATAATTCAGAACAGTTAAGACTGTATATATATTTTAAAATTTAGACTTAAAAATCGACTATTGTTCCTCGAGAGCTTTTACATAATAATCTTGGAAAATTGTGACGTAACGGCTATGATTCCGTTCTATATATAATTTTAAATTATCGGTGAATTATAGGATTCGTCGACTTGAACCACCCTATTTTAAACTATATACTCTTTCAAGTCATCGTTGTGATAAATGATGAGTTTAGTGACACTAATTCTTCAGTATGTGGAAATAATTCTCATTCACTCTGCATACCCAAATGGATAATGAAGTTAACTTCATTCATTCGGTTAACATTCGGTTCTTGTGGCTCATTCGCTTCTTATAAAACATTATAATTTTCCAGTCGGGCGGGGCCGACTTTAAGATACCCTACACCACTTGGCTTATTTAGTAGAGCTCCGCATAACATTTAAAAGTTTTTATGGGAGAATTCAATCATACACGCTAAGATTATAATTATAATTTAAAGTTCAAAGGACTAAATATGCCGAAGCATTTGTATCTTTTAAATTCGGAATTATATTGCCCATTTGGTGCACAATTAATTTGAAATCGGATAAAGATATTTATGGGAGCTATATCCAAATCTGAACCGATCTCGATAAAATTTGGCAAATATATTTCTGAGCTGTATTTGATATATTTCCCTGAATATCGTTGTTACGGAGTGCATATTACGGCTGTGGGTAACAAATATGACAAATCGGATGGACAGTATATATGGGAGCTATAGCTATATCTGAACCGATCTTTACCAAATTTGACATACTAGCTTCTAGACTAAATTCTGTCGTAAGTGCCAAATTCCATCCCATTTGGACAAATGTTAGACGTTTGGTGCACAATAAAAGGTAAATCGGACGAAGTTATATATGGTAGCTATATCCAAATCTGAACCGATCTCGATAAAATTTAGCAAATGTATTTCTGAGCTGTATTTGATATATTTCCCCAAATATTGTTGTTGCAGAGTGCATATTACGGCGGCGGTGGACAAAAATAACAAATCAGATGAACAATATATATGGGAGCTATAGCTATATCTTAACCGATTTCGATCAAATTTGGCATACATATTTTCAGGCCTAATTTGGGTGTATATGCATACAATTCGGGCTGATATTATACGTTTGGTGCACAATAAAAAGCAAATCGGACGAAGATATATATGGAAGCTATATCTAAATTTTGACCGATTATCTCCAATTTCAATAGGGTTCGTCCTTGGGCCAATCAATTGTTTACAAAAATACATGGACAGACGGACGGACGGACGGACGGACATGCATAAATCGACTCAGAATGTTATTCTATGCAGATCATCAAAAGGAACTATGGGTCTATCTCGTTTCCTTCTGCCTGTTACAAACAAATGCACAAAGACATAATACCCTGACCACCTTGTGTTGTAGCGTATAAAGAGTAGTGAAATAACTGACTGACTGACCGAGTGAGAATCAACGCCCTGACAAAACGGCTTGTGATAGGGTTGCGTTTTTTGGAAACTCGTACTAAAAGGGTACAAAAGTACTAAATATTTAATACTTTGTATTGGACAAACGCAATAAGCCGAATTCTTAAGTCTCGAATGAGAATCACTGATATATGTTCCAAAGAGGTTTTAGAAAATAAGGTTACGAACAGTTCTAAAATTGTACTAAACTTTAAAAATGGTATAATTTGGTATTAGATGAATGGATCGAGCTAATAAATTGAATTTGAAATGACAATCAAGGTTAAGAAATAATGGAAATGTGTACTACCTATGCACAAAAAGTACTAAATTTGGAATAGTTTGGTTTAGGGTGAACGGATGAAGCTGAAATTTTGTCCCTGTTGGTGATATATTTGTCATAAAAAGGTGGTTCTGGAAATGTGTACCATAATTGCAGAAAAGTACTGAATGATACTTAATTTGGTATTAGGTGAAGGGATAGAATCCTCAAATTTGATGAATATCTGGAATTGAGAAATGGAGGTGGATTTAGAAATGCGTACTATAATTATACGAATAGTACTACATTTAATAATGGGTGAGCAGATAATGCTTGAAATCTGAAATTTGGTATTAGTGTACTATAATTGCACGAAAACTACTGAATGGTACTTTATTTGGTATTGCATTTATGGGGACAGAGATAAAATTCTGAAATTTGTTAGCTAGACTACTGAGGGTATCTGTGTTTGAGATTTGGCGGTGGTTTGAAAAAGCATCATATATATATATATATATATATATAGAAAAAGTACTAAATGGTACTAACATTGGCATTGGGTGAATCAATAGGGCTGGAATCCTCAAATGTGATGATATTGAGATTTCTGTTGGTATCAGGAATTGGGATATTGAGATTTTTGATCTTTCATTTTGCAGTTTATCGAGGAGGATATTAGTAAAACCATTGTATAATGGACCAACATTACATTTATCTACCCAAAACTATTTCACCGTCTCAATATAAAATCTGAGAATTATATCTATATCCCAACACCAAACGGCACTTTCTTTTTTGGCATTTTTGGACTTTTTTACGTTTATGATATGCATTTCCAAAACCACCTCCATCTCAAATCAATATTAAATTACAGGAGTTCAGCTCTATCCCCTCACTCAATTCCAAATTTAGTACCATTTTATACCATTGGTGCAGGTAATACCCTCAGTTTCAAAACAATCTCTATGTCTCAACCCCAGATACTAACAGTGACCTTATTATAAAATTTCATGATATTAGCTCTTTAATTTCCCCCATTACCAAATTTAGTGCTATTTAGTACAATTATATTACGCATATCCAAAACCAGGTCCCTTCCTAATCCCCCAACAACAACGGTGGCATCGATATCAAATTTAAGGATTTCAGTTCTACCCCTTAACAACATATCAAACTTAATACCATTTAATACCTTTCGTACAATTATAGTAGACATTACCTAAATCACATCCATATCTGAATCCCAGTTACAAACAGGGACCTCAGTATAAAATGTTTAGATTCCAGCACTATCCCTTCACCCAAGGTTAAATTTGTATCACTTAGTACTTTTCGCACTAAGTGATACTAATTTTTATAGTAAACCTTTCCAAAACCACATTCGAATTTTAACTACAGGCACCAACAGTGAAATCTAAATCAGGTTTGGGGATTCCAGCTTTATTCCTTCACCCAACGAAAAATCTAGTATCACTTAGTACTTTTGGTACAATTATAGAACACAATTCCAAAACCACCTACAAATCTTAACTACAGACACCAAGAGTGACATTTATATCAAATTTCAGGATTCTAGCTCTCTCCCTTTTTCCAATGCCAAGTTTAGTACCATTTAGTACTTTCCAACTATAGAACGCATTTCAAAACCACCGCCAAACCTCAAACACAGATACCCTCAGTAATCTAAATATTCAATTTCAGAATTTTATCTCTATCCCTTCGACCAATACTACAGGGTTGCCCATATTCGACGGACCCATCTGGCAACGTCATAACTTTTGACAGAGATGTCACATCGTTTAATGACATACCGCGTTTGAAGCATCAGTCCAAGCAGATTTTTACGATGAACCAATACACGCCACGTGAGCGCTCTGAAATAGTCAATTGTGTCAATTGAAGTCAATTGTGAAAACTCAACGTGCTTTTAAAACATTAAAAAATGTGAGAAGTGCGCCTTCTAAGAACACCATTAAGCGTTTATACGAAAGTCGACCAAGGGGATCGGCCGAGAATATCGCTGTCGTACGAGCTAGTGTTGAGAAAACGCCAAAAACGCCATTCTCAGCAGTTGGACATGGCTCGGTCCACTTTAAAACGGATTATTCGCATTGATTTGCATTTGTTCCCGTACAAAATGCAACTGACGCAAAGAATGTTTCCTGCGGACAAGCCTCGTCAATTGGAATGGGCCCAAAGTGTCATGTATGTATTGTATTTAATACTTTTGGTATTTGCAATACAACCTCTTAATCAACCTAATTCGTTCACCTTAAATCAAACTGTTCCAAATTTAGTACTATTTAGTACAGCTCCAAAAAACACCTTCATATATCAAACCTACTTTCCAAACTTGATTCTTACATCCGTTCACATTATACCAAATGGTACCATTCAAAACTTTAGTACCATTTTAGATCTTTTCGTAATGACCAAAAATCGCTTGGTTTCGCAATCTATCCGCAGTCTATCGCTTTTGTTCAATACAAAGTATTCAATTTTTAGTACATTTTAGTACTTTTCGTATTCTTGTTGTACGAATTTTCAAAAAACTCAGCCTTGCCTCACGCCTACGAATCAAGACTGTCCCTCAAAATTCTAACTTCAGCCGTTTTTATAAGGTGTTGTATGTCGATCATTCAGTAAATTATTTTACTACTCTTTTACGTTTTTTTTAAGTACAGATAACAACCTCTGCAAAAAAATCCGACAATTTTTATTAAGTTAGACTTAAGCCACAAATATTATTTAAGATCCACTATTAGCCCTGATAGGTAAATCAACCTTTATAGTTTTGGGTAGAAAAATTTAATGTTGGTCCATTGTACAATGGTTTTAGTAATATCCTCCTCGATAAACTGCAAAATGAAAGATCAAAAACCTCAATATCCCAATTCCTGATACCAACAGAGATCTCAATATCATCACATTTGAGGATTCCATCCCCATTGCTTCACCCAATGCCAATGTTAGTGCCATTTAGTACTTTTTCTATATGTATATATGATGCTTTTTCAAACCACCGCCAAATCTCAAACACAGATACCCTCAGTAATCTAGCTAACAAATTTCAGAATTTTATCTCTGTCCCTATAAATGCAATACCAAATAAAGTACCATTCAGTAGTTTCCGTGCAATTATAGTACACATTTCCGAAACCACCCCCATATGTCCAGGCTTTGAAAAATATCTTTAAAAATCAGCGATTATAGCTGTTATGCTCCTTCAAAACTGTTCTTAACAACCATTGCTCTAGAAAGATAGGATTTCAGAATATTTCAAAAGTAAACATTTATAGCGCGATAGTCCTTGCATAATCTTATCCCGAATTCTACGGATATAGGTGCGGTAGGCCTTAAAATATATATATATATATATAGAATTATATATATATATATATATATATATATATATATATATATATATATATATATATATATATATATATATATATATATAAATCCACGATTATATCTGAGAGGGACCTCAAAAAATATTTTTTCGAAATACGACTTCAACTGAGATAAAGCTTGAAATGTATTTTTTAAAGTCCAAGAACATAGCTGAGTTAGGTCTTGAGAAAAATGTCTTAAAATCCATTACTACAGTTATGATAGGCTTTCAAATTTTCTTTAAATTTACGATTATACCTGTGAATACCTCCATTAATATTTTGATAAGTCGATTATATTAGCATCTGAAAATATATGAAAAAATACTATTTTCTATCTTCAAACAAGTCAATTTTATTGTAGCTTATCTCTTCTGTCTCTAGTCCAAAACCTCTTTGATATTCCATAGCAGTATTAGCCTTCATTAATAATCAATTATAAACCATCTCGTTAGTACACATGAACTACCCCGTTGAAATCAAATAAATAAATTCACTCACTTAAAATGCAGACTAATTAAAAGCCCATTTTCTTTACGAATAAGGCATGCCGCCGCCACCTTTATAGAATCACTAGCTGAACCCGGTGCGCTTCGCTACCCCTTTTGATTTTATATGCATTCAAAATTTTATGACATACATACACGAAGGGTTTGTCCTTCGGATTTATTTATTTCATAGCAAATACCAAGCGTGCAGTAAACTGCAATCTTTTGAAGTTGAGTGGCATTTCTGTTGCAATTAATGAATTCGAGATAGCAACATACTTCGCCGTAATAAGCGTATTTCAAATTAATTGTTGTGTTGATTTTTAGTGTTAGCCTAAGGCGTTGTTGGTCAATGGTTCTTATTAAAATCATATCCCAATCTGATCCGATTTAAATATAATTTTAAAAAAATTACTTTTACACCAAATTCCGCCACACCTTTCATATTTCATTGAAATTGGTGCGTCAAATACGTGAAATCGGCCGAGAATATATATATGGGAGCTATATCCAAATCTTAACTAATTTCCAATTAATTTGTCACATTTATTATTGTAACCACACATATGTTAGCTATACCCAAACCTCAACTGATTTCAATAAAATTTGGCAATTTTTTCTGGTGCCAGATTTCGTCTTTCTCGCTTTGGGTGCATCAAATATGTGAAATCGGCTGCGTATATATGTGGGAGCTATAATTAAATCTGAGCGTATTTGAATATAATTTGTCAAATTTATTTTTGTACCAAGTTTAGCCACTCATGCCGAATTTCATTGGAATCGGAAATACGTATCGTGTTTTGTGCATCAAATATGTGAAATCGGCGGAAAATATATATGGTAGCTATATCCAAATCTGAACCGATTTTAATATAATTTGACTAATTTATTTTCTAATCAAAATCCCGTTACATATTCCAAATTTCTTTGGAATCGAACATACATATCGTGTATGATGCATAAAATACATGAAATCGGTCGAAAATACATATGAGAGCTATATCCAAATCTGAACCGATTTTAATATAATTTGAAAAATTCATTTTTGCTCCCGATTCCGTTACTTATTTTAAATTTCATTAAATTTGGACATACATATCTTATTTGGTCCACCAAATACATGAAATCGGCCGAAAATATATATGGGAGCTATATCCAAATCTGAACCGATTTCAATATAATTTGACAAATTTATTTTCGGATCAAATCCCGTCATATATTCCAAATTTCATTGGAATCGAACATTCATATTGTGTTTGAGGCATCAAATGAACGAAATCGGTCGAAAATATATATGGGAGCTATATCCAAATCTGAACCGATTACAATATAATTTAGCAAACTTATTTTTGTTCCAAATTCCGTTACACATTCCAAATTTGTAGACTGTATCTTTAACCGATCAATAGATATGTGCATATAAAATCTAAATTTTTGGGAGGTACCTCCGATTCTGATGCTATATCTCCAGTTCCAAGTGGAAATTCAAAAATGTATATAGCCTATGTTACTTTCAGGCGATGTTGCAGTATATATGGAAATTTTCAGAAAAATCTATTCAGCAGTTTTCGAGTCCATAAATTACAAACAAACAAACAAACAAACAAACAAACGTACAAACATTTTCCTCTTTTATAGATATAGATTTAAGGATCCAATTACTACCAAATGACTGCCTGCCTGTCTCTCGACCTGTCTGCCTGCCTATCGCAGGGATATCTTTACAAATTCTTCCAACTTACCATACAAATCCACATCCGAATCGTCGGAGCGGCGTTGCAGCATATTGTCATTGACCACACGATCAATTGATTCACGCTCGTAATGATCCAAATAAGCGATAATACGTCGCGTGGCGGGTATCTTGTAGAAGGCATCTAAACGTGCACACGACAGATACGGACAACATGTGTTCTTCTTTTGGACGACGACACAGCCGCGCGGCGGTGGCATCGGCATCTCTGGGCAAACTTTTAAGCGGCAGACCAGCGTCTTCTTGGTGCACTGACAGTTGAGACATTTCTCGGTTGTGGGAACTAATGATTTGTCCGCGTACCAAGTACCATTGTGGTAACAACCTGTAAGATGCAAGTAGAAGAGAAAAAATAAAATAACAACAACATCAACAAAAATAATAAAAATTGAATGAATCTCAAAAACAACAACCATCTTGGCAAGTTGGCAAGTGGTGGTAAGACTCTGGTTTTAATGAAAGCTGGTGCTGATAATCAACGCAACAAATCACCTGGCTTATGAAGATCGCCCATTGCAGTTCCATACATTGTTTGGGTGTATGTGTGCGTTTGTGTGGTGTGGTGGGATGGGAACTAAATATAAAAATTAGTTTGGAATGACTTGGGAAATTACTGCATTTTTTCAAAACACTCTACCATCTCTACTCTAAAAGTGTTACTAACAGTGCCGATAAAGTTATTAAGATAAGGCTGCTTGTTGTGTTGGAGGAAATGTTGCTGATGTTACCATAAATGTTTGAAAATCGTGTGAATAAAACTTGTCTCCAAGAATGACTTTCCATGTTTGGCAATTATGGTATGTTTAGTGGTTAGGTAGATTTTATCTTCTTTTGCTTTGCTGAAACCTCCATATGGTATTACATTCAAAGAGCTGAATGCAGTTTCTCATGGAATTGGCACATTTTTAACACTTATTAAATCGTATGGCTTCTGATACGAATAGTTGGAAAATTCTGGTTATTAAGAAAAGAAAGAAAATAAATTCCATTTGGTGAGACTTTGAATCCCCTTGGGAGAAATCATAGCCCAAACAGAAGTTTAGTTGTAGATTTCTTGGATTCATAGTTTTGGACATATCTGTCAATCAGGTCCCTCACAATTTCAGATGGTATTTACCGCCAAACTATTTTTTTCTGTGGTGATAATTTAAAATTTGTAACTTCTAGATCTACCGATTTGATCTATTTTCTTCTCACGCCGAGCTGAGTTGTTCAAGCTTCGTTGGTCTGTCCGTCTGGCCATTTTAATTTTTATACCCTACAACACTATGTGTTGGGGTTGAAATGGACCAAAAACAGAAAAATTTCCCGATTTTGCAGTTGCTCTATAGGCCACAATTATGAACCAATCGACGCGAAAATTTACATGAAGTTAGAGTTTAGTAGTGGGCAGAAACCTACCAATTTGGGCGGCCATTGGACAATAATTAGCGCGTAAAATAGACCCTAACGTTTTTGTAAAATAATAGGGAAATTTCCACTAAACCGCGAATATTTTCAATCCCAGCCAAATCACAAATACATTAAAAGATCACTTCTGACCATTACAGTGATGCTAATAGCCAAGAAATCGGATATATAGCAATATATGTAGAATTGATTGCTTATAAATCAAGAACCGCTGGGCCGATTTTTATAATTCCCATCAATTCGGAATGGTCTCTTGCTAGAAAACGATTAAATCTTAGAAAATCGCGGAAAAATATACCAATAAAAAAATGAATATTTTTTGTCGACTTTTTTCAATTTTTGTTATATTTTTTAATCGCATGCGATTTTTTCAATTTGACTTACAATATTGAATTGTAAATTTTCTAAATTTTTGCACCGCCAACACTACGTTTTAAGGGTATTATATGCATATCGCACTTATAGTCCGATCCTCACGAAATTTTGCATGAGGGTAGGGTTAGGGTCAGAATTAACACCTGGACTAAAAAAACTTAATTTTTCCTAATTGTGTAGTCGCTCGACACGGAATTTCGCATCAGAAGAGATTTAAGGACAGGGAAGAAGTCCAGCATTTCGGATGACCATTGGATTATATTTAGCTGTAAATTGGACCACATCTTTCGTGTGAAATTGTTTTGAATTCTGAACAACACTACGAAGTGCGTAAATATTGGCCAAATTCTCTGAGACAAAAAACTAAGGGTCTGGGCGGGGCTCTTTGATATAAGGGGACTTCGAACATATTGTAGTGTTGTAGGGTATCACATGGTCGGCGCCGCACGACTATAGCCTTTGCTTACTTCTTAATCATCATACAGGTCGTAATTATAGTGCATTTTCCATTTCCAAACCACCTCCATATCTTAATCACGGACACCACCAATAACATCTCTATCAAATTTCAGGACTTCAGCTCTATTCCTTCAAACGATACAAAATTTAGTACTACTTATTTCTTGTCGGGCAATTATAGTGCAAGTTCCCAAGGCGCCCGAACATACTCCCTACAGAAATAATCCCCTATTGCAATTATGGGCATTATTACCGTTTGGTACAAAAATAAGTAGTGAATTTGGGTTCGCGTTAGCTGGTGCGGGATATGCCCAACGGAGAAAATCTCTAGCCATGGACGAAGGTCGGCTACTTACAAACGGAGGACAAGACCAGAGGAGAAAATCTATATTATTCCACACACCATTTATGTCCGCATTCGTTTTGGACATACCGATTATTCTGGGAATTATGTCCGCTACTTTCTGGGGATTATGAACGATTTTTTCTTGGACCCAATTCCTATATTTTTGCCATAATTGTAATGGGGACTATGTCCGCGGGATAATGGCACATATCCCAATTCCAGGCAGTTTCGAGAATCCAGCTCTATCCCTTAACCCCATTAAGCTCCACTTAGTACTTTTCGTACAAATATGGTACACATTTGCAAAACAACCACCATATCTCAATACCAAATACCAACAGATTCTTCAATATCAAATGATGGCATTCCAGCTCTATCCCTACACTCAAAAATTGGCAAAGATATTTCTGAGCTGTATTTGATATATTTCCCTGAAAATCGTTGCTACGGAGTGCATATTACGGCTGTGGGTAACAAATATGACAAATCGGATGAACAGTATATATGGGAGCTATAGCTATATCTGAACCGATCTTCACCAAATTTGACATACTTGCTTCTAGACTCAATTCGAAATAACAAAGGTATTTCTGAGCTGTATTTGATATATTTCCCCAAATATTGTTGCATATTACGGCTGCCGAGGACAAAAATAACAAATCGGATGAACAATATATATGGGAGCTATAGCTATATCTGAACCGATTTCGATCAAATTTGGCATACTTATTTTCAGGTCTAATTTGGTTGTATGTGGTTGTTAAATTTCATACTATTTGGGCAAATATTAGACATTTGGTGCACAAAAAAGGGCAAATCGGAAGAAGATATATATGGGATCTATATCTAAATTTTGAACGATTATCTCCAATTTCAATAGGTCCAAACAAATGATATGTACAAAATTTCATCTGGATAGGGCAATAAATGCGAACTGTACTTTGTTTACAAAAATACGTGGACAGACGGACGGACTGACATGCATAAATCGACTCAGAATGTGGCTCTATGCAGATCATCAAAAGGAACTATGGGTCTATCTCGTTTCCTTTTGCCTGTTACAAACAAATGCACAAAGACATAATACCCTGACCACCTTGTGGTGTAGGGTATAAAAATTATGGTGCACATTTTCAAAGCCATTTCCATATTTTAACCACAGACGCCAATAGTGTTATTTATGTCTAATTTCAGGACTTCAGCTCTATTCCTTTACCCAAATCCAAATTTTGTTCTATTAATTTCTTTTCGTACAACTAAAGTGTATACAGGGTGAGTTGAAAAAACTGCAACCAAATTGAGACTGCTGTCATTTCTATGCCACCATTCACCATTCAGTACTTTTCGTAAAATACTAGTACACATTTCCGAAACCAACTCTTTATACTCAGGCTACACATGAACAATACCAACCCAAATACCAAATTTCAGATTTCAAGCACTATGTTTGCCCAATACCAAATAGTACCAAATATAGTACTATTAAGTACTTTTCGTGCACTTGTTGTAAACATATCCTATAATACCTCCTCTGCAGAAACCTACCATCAAAAGGTACCTCTATACAACATTTCAAAATTCCAGCTTCATTTGTTCAAGCTAAAGCAAACTGGTCCAAATGTAGTACCATTTGGTACACTTCGCAAACTTAGTACACATTTCCAAAAACCATACTACATTTCATGTTTTTAGCGTTATCGGTTCACATAATACCAAATGGCTCCATTTTAGTAGTTTAATACAATTTAAGAACTTTTTATAATCAAAATGTTCCAATTCCCACAAACCCTTTGGTATATCTATCCTGCACTCCATCTTGACTCTCGTTCCAATTTTCAGAATTCTAGATATATCTCTTCACCACAATATCAGTTTCTACCTAGTTAAGTACCATTTAGATTACATAAGTACAAATTTTAGCAAAAGCCTGCATCTTACAGCGTTATTTTTAAATTTCAGGATTCCAACTCTACTGGTTCACTAAAAATGTAAATTGTATTAAATTTAGTACCATTTAGTACACATAATTATAAATTTCCAAAACTACCTACATTCCTCAGTCCTACAATGCAATTGTAATCTTGTTAACAAATTTCAGGATTCGAACTCTATTGGTTGTCCCAAAATATAAATTGTACCAAATGTAGTAGACATAAGTTCGAATTTCCAAAATACCCTACATTCCTCAGTTCTATGGGTTCATCTAATTCAAAATTGTACCAAAATTTAGTACCATTTTGTACTTTTCGTTCACAAAAGTACACGTTTCGAAATCTTCCTCCATATCTCAACACTATACTTCGCCAGTAATGTTCATTTCAAATTTCCGCTCCATCCGTTCCTCCAAATTCAAATTGTACTATATTTGGTATCGTTTAGTACTTTTCGTATACATTAGCACACACTTCCAAAACTACCTCCTTACATCGACTCTACTCCTCAACCTTAATACCCACTCCAAATTTAAAGTTTATAGCTAATGCTTTTTTATACTTTTCTTACCGTTCTAATACGAATTTCAAAACGACCCAGCCTTATCTGACTCTTTCGAACCGATAGTGACCCTCACTCAAAATTTAAAGTTCAGCCGTTTCTGGTCTGTTTCTGGGACTTGATGAATTGTTAAGTGAGTCAGTCAGTCAGCCAATTACTTTACTCTATAGATAGATGATTTTAAATTAACGCATACAGGGTGAAATAAAAAATATGCAACAAAGTCAAACGCCATAATTATA